TTAACAGCAAGTTTTCCTGAACAGAGTTGCACAGGAGTAAGAACAAGGTTGCAAAAGCGTCAGACGAACTGAAAAGCGTTCGCTGCGCAGGATTTTGTACAAAACGCATGTTCGCATCAGCCTTTCCGCGCGCCACTATTTGTTCAATTCTGATATAGTACGAGCTACCAACGAGTAATTTTGTGCGTTTTTTGCATCTGTGCAATGCAGAAAATGCATAATGACGATTGGTTGCCTGTGTGTGTGTGTGTGTGTGTGTCTGTCTGTCTGTCTGTATGTGCGCTGTGCATCTATACCGATTTTTCATCTCAAGACCTACAAAAGCTACAGGGCTGAAACTTTGAGAAATTAATATACATGCATATATGGGTCCCCATCTCCAAAATTGGCGCTCTTACTCGCGTGGTAGTCGCGTATAGGCCCGCCAAAATTTTTTTCGGGCAAGTTGCTAAATCGCGAACCTGGGAAGCTGGAAGGCTGGAATCTTAAGGGGGTGTTCTTCCCCCAAGTAGGTCTTAATGAGTTCACACCCAGTCCCCGATATGCGTGGTTCCTATGTGCAGGCCCGTGCAAGTTTTTCATGGCTAAGTTGCTAACTCGGAAACCGAGATAGCTAGAAAGCTGAAATTTTAAAGGGAATTTTTTCAGGCAGCTCTGGTGACCAGTCTCAATTATCTTAGCTAGAAGCATTTAAAGGAAAAGCCGGTGCCTTGCTAAGCAACAAAAACGTGCGGGAAACTGTGCAAAAAACGCATCTTCGCACCGGCGGTCGATGCACTGGCTATTTACTGGATTTTAAAATAAAGTACGGGTTGAATGGCCTAACAACGAATTTAAATGTTTTTTTCGCTGATCTGCGACCTCACTTTCCAAGCACAAGTTAGTATCGCAGTCCCTTTCAGAAAATTTTAACTTCACAACCCTTGTTCCCCAATTTTGCGGTTGCTCTGCTGAGTGCTGTGCGACATCAGTGCATAGCACTGTGTGAAAACAATGCTGAATTGGTTCTTCGATTATCAATCTTGCGTGTTTCTGGAAAATCCTTCGATTTTATTCTGCAGCTCCAACTTAATGAGTGTGTCGCTTGTGTGCAGTCTTTCAGCAGCAGCAGCTCTCTGCACTAATGTGAATACGATATACTCCTGTGTTTTCATTTTTTCTCTCAAAATAGGTCGGGAG